TGTGTGTGTGTGTGTGTGTTTGGACCATGTGCTAAAGGGCTTAGAGAAAGCCTGGAATTGTGTTATTTTTCCAAGGGAGACATGAACAATGTCTGTTTCCCCCAAATTGAGCAATCATGACAGACCAGAGAATTGATTTCATCCAGGTCTGTCTTGGTGACCCAGTGAGTTTATTGGGCTCACTTACAGGAGCTCAAAGGAAGGATTACTTATAGGAGCATGTATGACGTAAAAACAGCTGCTTCACCAAAAAGTGCCCCCATTGCATGGGTGACAACCTCCTTACAGTTGCGTAGACGGAGCCTACCCTTCTCCTGACCTGCTGCCTTCCTCGGACTTTAGTACCTCCTGAGACGTGTGCATTGGGAGGCTGGTGTAGGATGGGAGGCCAGAATCTTAAGACAGGGTTGATGGCCCTTACCAGCCCTCCTTTTGTGAGGGATGGTGACAGCCCCAATCTTAGGAGGGTTTGGATAGTGTGACCCATCAGAGCTGCTTCACTTCTGAGAAGACAAAAGATACATCAGGCCTGGTGCACAGTGTTCCCCAATACCTTGCCTGAGGATTGTGGGGCAGATTTATCCATTCCAGAGCCAGGAAATGATGAAGAGGTAAGGGCTAGTGGCAGAAAAACCCTAGAAGAGAAGGCTTGTATAGACAGGAGTGGACAGAGTTGTCTGAGACCGGAAAGAGTGCTTGCTAGACAGACTTGACAAATGGCCAGAGCTCAGTGACAGACTGAGGTAAGGGATTCAGGGAGGAGCAGAGGAGGAAGCCTAGCCCTGCCTGTCCTGATGCTTTGACTTGAGGCTGCCTAGTTTTCCTCCCAGTCCCAGAATTCTCAGCTCTTCATGAAATGTGGGTAGTTGACAGCAGCAACTTGTTTTCAGAACTTAAATTATTCCAAGATCATTTATGAATATTTCATTTTTTGCTAACTAATTGGTTTCGAGGATCTGAATTATGGATGTAGGGGATGGAAGATTAGTTTTGTCGCTGTTGTGTTGGAAGCTTTCGGGGCTGATTTTATTTCTTCCTTAACCACCGGATTCCACACTGCTCATTAGTTTACTTCGTCTGGCTTTGTGGGGTCAGGCCACTGGGTTAGGTGCTAAGGGATATAAAGCATAAACGGGAGAACTCTTGCTGCAGAGAGCCCCCAGTTTATTGGCAGAGATTCACGGACAGTTTGCCCTGCTGCTCACTGTGCTGGGCTACCACTGTGTGTCATCAGCCCAGCCCAGCCCAGCACAGTACAGCTCTGGACAAAGCAGAGGGCACCCTTTACACTGAGTTTCCCAGGCCTTCAGGCAAGGGCACAGTTCTCCACAAGACGCTAGCCACAAGGATCATCCTCTTTGAATGGCTAGCTGCAATTTGGAGGATTGTTGTGGTCTTCTTCAGGTTCAGTAATTTGCTAGAGGAACTTCCAGAACTCAGCTAAGTCCTACATGTATGACTGTAGCTGGGACTAGGATGGTTTTCTGTGGAGCTTTGTGTTTCCCACACAGTACTGGATGTCAACACTTCCTCCCATCCTTTGTGTATGATGAGATCAAGCTCGACCCAGGGAGTCTCTCCAGCTTTCACTGCACACAGCTGTTGCCGGGTTCTGGAAGACATACTGCCCATGTGTGATCTCCACCCTCCTGGGGCTTCCGATCCCTTCCCCTCTGGTCCCTCTGGAGGTCAGAGGTGCTATGTCACGTTGCAAAGTTCCCATCACATGTCACCTAGGCCAAAGCCTTCAGGCAGACACAGACGCACCTATCAGGTCCTGAAGGTCCCCCAGGGCAAGGACCAGACCTCTCTGTAGGTGAAATTCATCTTGACTACACAGCTTCACGCTCAGAGCATCCAGAGAGCAGCTTCTGTCCGCACGGCAGGGCATCGCTCCCCACGGGCTTAGAGCTGGGCCGCAGACTTCAGTCAGCTGCCGTGTGTTGGGTTGTGCAGCTCAGCTGAGGGCGGTGAAGTGGGTGTTCGGTAGATTCTGCTGAGGCTGCTTCTTGGATATTAGTCATGGCTCCTTCAGGTTGCATTTGTTGCTCTAGAGAATAGTACTAGGAAGTTTTCAAGACTTAGACGTAAAGGCTTTGTTCCTATTCCATTCCTGGATTCCTTCCTTGAACCTTCAGTGCCCAGCGACTTCAGTGCCTCCTGGAGGGTTCCAGCCTCTGTCCTTGGTGGTATCTGATCCTGGCAAAGGGACCAAAGAACACTTTGTCTGGTTCCTTAGTGTGTTTTCATGTCTGTAAGCACCATTTCTCCCCATTTTTACCCACCCGAGATGCCCTAGTGAGATGGAGCAAAGTCTGAAATAGTGCCGCCTACCCAGGCCAGAGAAGGCTGTGGCCTAGATCCCCAGGCAGTGCTGACATGTGCTTGGCATTGTAGCTCTGCAGAGGTTCCATCCTGTAGGGTGCTCCCTTCCTAGGAACTTTCCTGTCCTGTTCTGCCCATATCCCCCCCCCACCCCCCCATGTCTCTGAATGCTTGAGGAGCCTGCATTGAGGTGGGTTGTTGGCCAGAAAACCCCAGTCCTGCTGCTCTGCCCTGCAGACTGTGTTCTTATCTCCCTGCCTTGTGTGCCTTGGGGGACCTCATAATTAAAGGATCCCACAGTGCTAGCCCTGAATAGAGTGGCTGGTGTTTCCTATGTGAGCCTCACCTCTTTAAAGAGCAGGAAGAGTCTTGCTCATTCTACAGCCAAGCCTTCACTTAAGATGGGGCCAAGCCTTTGGATACTTCCTCTCAACCCTGAGGGGTTGTCCAGTGCCAGCTCTGGCATTGGGGTGTTGCCAAGCTGGGGCCATACCCCTGCTTAGACCGTCTTAGGGTCCCTCCCAGGCATATCACAATCCATACAACTACATCAGTCCCAGTTCACATGACTGTATGTGCAGTTCTGCCCACTGCTCCTGCTTAATCCCACCTTCATTCTGGAGGTATTTTCATGATGAGCACCAATGGATGAGAATGCTGTTGTAATGTGGTTTGGAACTCACTCGGAAACAGTTCTGATCATGCTGTTTAAAAATCCCTAGGTCACTAGGCAACTTGAAAAATGCAACTATTCTTGTTCGCCCTCTGATTTGTGGCTTTACATTGTAAGAGCTTTTTCCCCTCCTTTTTACCCAGTTTGAGTCTTTGACACAATCAGAATAGTTGTGTAACCCATTAGGAATGTGATACTCTCAGCAGTTCCTGAAAACCATTTGCAAAGGAGTCCTGGAGCACTTTCTGAGCAATGGATTTAAGTGGAAGTGAGGATTAATAAGGGGCAGGATTTGTATACTGCCAGCCATCGCCACAGCATGAACTTGTGCCCCCTTCCAGCTTTATTGAAGGAGTGTGTGCAAAGGTTCTGACCAGTTGGTAGTCATGACACAGGATATTGCAAAATCAATTACCATTAGTAGTAGATGCAGTAGCATTAGCATTAAAGATATTTGCAGTTGGTAATTTGGGGAACCACCTCAGACTTTTCATTTTTAATAAAACACAGAACATGACCATACTTAGACAAAGAAGTCGAGTAACTGCCCTGCTCTGCCTCCTCACGTGACTGCCTCCTGCCCTGTTGTTTCTTTTACAGAGTTTTTGGTTATGAAGAGGAAGCGAGGCAGGCCTAAGGGTTCCACGAAGAAGCCCAGCCCTGAAGAGGAGGTAGTCGAGAGCCTCGTGAGCCCCAGTGAGGACGGTCCCCTGGCCCCGGAGGAAGGGAGTGACCTGGCGCCCAGCAGCTTGGAGTGTAGCAAGTGCTGTCGGAAGTTCTCCAACACACGCCAGCTGCGCAAGCACATCTGCATCATTGTGCTGAATCTGGGTGAGGAGGAAGCAGATGCAGGTTAGTGCTGCATGCCAGGTTCTCATCAAGAGCGGTACCAGCCAATACCCGCTTTCAGGCTTGTTGCTTGGAAGTAATGTGTGCCTGCGCAGGTCTCTCCGCCTGGTTCAAGAGGGCTGTTTACTGTTCCTGAGAATAGCCCTGGAGGTGAAGATGTCATGCAGCAGGTGAGACCCACTGGTCCGAGGTGCTTGATGGGAGAGGAGCTGTGGGGACTTGACTGCATCAGTGGTCAAGCTCTCTCTCCACCTTGGTGAGTTCATGTGTTGGAAGCAAAATGTTGAAGGGCAGTCATCAAGAGCAGCCATTCCAATGTGAGATAATAAAGCTTGAGTGTGGGTCGGGGGACATTGAAGTGGACAGATGGAGTCAAGGGTGGCAGGTTCGTCGGTCACTGGTGACTGGTGCCTAGACTGTGGTGGGTGTTCTTGAAGAAGAAACATCATGTACTTCCTCTGGCTGTGTTCCTGGCTAGAGTGCAACACTGAAGCACTTTGAGAGGGCCTGAGGGTGACCACAAGCATGGCGCGAAGTGGCTGCAGCATTGCAGATCCATAGATGACCTTCTGGAAGGAGATGCAGTACTACACCAAGGGTGCCCGGGCCTTGCCCTCCTTTCTCTCTTCAAGACTCACCAGAGTCAGGGAGTTCTTGGTGGGCAGGGCTGTGCAAAGCGTGCCCCGTGGGAGCCCAGCCTGTGGTCAGGGTTTGAATCGGTTCCAGCCTTGCTAGCCGGCTTTAGCTTCAGTTTCTTCACCTGTAACACAGGAATGAAAACTGCTATTTTATGTGAGGGCCTTGAGTGTTATGGAAGACAGGGCTTCCACAGAGCTTGGCATAGCACTTGCTGTATTGGAAGATCCAGTCTTCATTAACTGCTCCGTTAGCTGGTGTATCCAGGTGGCCACAGCACTTGGGCCACCCTAGCTGTTCTAAGGACAGCACACTTGGACACTGAAAAGGGAAGACATGTGCCTGGTGTCTGTTAGGTAACAAGAGCACCTGGCCTTTGACCCCAGGCCATCCTCTGAATGGCTGTTCTTAATTTATTTACTGTAGATGTCTCCCAGTGATGAAGCAGGATGGTTGGTATGCAAAATCCCAGCACAGATTGGATGAATTATTAAGTAATTCATCAATTTATACTTAACAAGCGTCCAGGTGGGTGGCCGAGGCTCACTGCCAGCATCTGTGGCAGCTGATTAAGACATGCTTCCAATCTCCTAAAGAGCTGTAAAGGTGATCATGTGACCCTTGCTACTTCGTGTGCTAACAGAATCCTGACATGGCCGTGGGCTGGCAGCTGTCCCACAGTGTGAGAGGTGTGAGATTTCAGTGGGGGTCTGTATCTCACCTTGGAAACAAAAGTCCTTTTGGAAAATTGAAGATTGGTTTCAGAGAGCAGTTTCTTAGGATCAGGCCATACTGTCTCTGACCCTGAAACCCAGACAGCCCTGGCTCTGTAATTCATTGATGTGGGTTATGGGCATTATTGTTCTCTGTGTCTCTGCTTTTCTGTCTAACTGTCTCTTTTACACCCACATGCAGGTATGTACAGACACATGCACACACACCTACCCCTCCTCTCCTCTCGCATCCTTCTTAATACTTGTTGCCTCTTCAGCAGCTCTGGCCACTAAGACAGCCTTTCTGATTTCTGCCTGGTCCCTCTACAGACTGGTTCTCTGCCATTGGGTTCTGGTTGCTGTTTCTCCACAGCCTTCTCCTGTCATGGCTGAGATGCCTCTGACCTTTCTGAAGATGCCTGGTGTTAGGGATTTCAACTCTTTTGTGGTACTGAATTTTCCTTCCTGCCTCCCAGATCTAGGTTTAATTTTGAGGCAAAGTAGTGTATTCTCATCAAGCTGGCATAAAATCTATCTCTTCATGTTAGTTCTTCATCTTTTTCCACTCCAGATGACCTTGTTATGTGGCATTGTGGCATTATCTTCCATGGTGTCCATGTTCCAGTGTTGAGGTCAGTCATGGCACAGTTGGTGACAATCTGTGTTATTATTTTTTCTTGTGTGTAATTATAAACAAGGACTTAGTAAAATCTCAAGTATTTATCTGTGCATGTGGTTAAATTCCTGGCCACAGATCTGCCTAGTCAGAAAGTATGTGCTACTACATTTCTCCACAGATGGCTCCTACCAACTTATGGTCCCAAACTGTCTGGGAGGACCATCGGGTGTTATAAGTTCTGTTGTCTTTTTGTGTGCATATGTTACATGTGTGAGGATGGCATGCACAGGCCAAAGGTATCCTCAGTTATTGTTCCTTGGTTCCTGTCTACTTGACAGGCTCTCTCAGTGGCTTTTGAGCTGCCTGGCCAGTAAGCCCCAGGTATCTGCTTGTCTTGGCCTTCTAGTGCTGAGATTGCAAGAGTGTGCTACCATGCCTGTGGTTTAAAAAAATTCTTTTTTTTTTTCAAATTACACTCATGATATTCATTAGTTACACTCATTATATTAATCACATTTGTGGTATTCATAGATTACATTCGCGGTATGTGTGTGTGTGTGTGTATGTGTGTTACTTATCAAGTTCATTTAGTGTTACTCATATATTCATGGGTGTAGGGCAGATCACTTGAGATTGGATAACCTATTGGGAGAAGGTCCCTGGAGAAAGTTGATCCTCTCTCTTTTAGTAGCCCTTGACTGCCTGTAGTTCTTTATCTAGGAGTGAGGCCTTGGCACATCAACTAGTATGGATGTTATGCATGTCTTTTTAGGCAGCCATATTTTTGAGATTTCATGGTGCAGCATCCCTATCATGTCTAGAAGATACTATCTTGCAGCAGGCATCCTGGCCCTTTGACTCTTACAGTATTTTCCTCCTACATTTGTACTGTAAATATCAACTCTGAGGGTAAGCACCTTATACTACTCTACATTTACTTACTCTGTGCGGCGCGCTCCTCGACCAGCGAGGAAGAACGACCACCATGCGAGGATTCTTCTCAGAACACACTTTATTGGAGCGCCTCTTGATTAAGGAAGAGCGGGAGGTGAGGGGCCCTGAGGACTAAACTACAGCTGCTTATAAAGGGAATCAGGCAAATGTGCCGTACTGTGATTGGGTCCCGCCAGAATGCTAGCACGGGGAGCCACGGGATAGGCTGAGGACATAAGGCCAATTACCATACTTGTGCATCATAGCCAAATATGGAGTTGTTTACAGCTAGGCTACCAGGAAGCCAGCGCCATCTTAGAATGGCGGCTCCCTACAACTCTGCATTTTGATCAGTTCTCTATCTCTATGGTAGTCTCCAACTGCTGCAAAATGAGGCTTCTTTGAAGAGGGGTGATAGCCACACTTGTCTATGGTATAAAGATTAGTGTTTAGAATATAGTTAGAAGCCATATTGATTTAGGGAAGTGGTAGTTGTTCTCCTCTAGAGTCTGTGACCTCTCCAGCCAGGGATAATGGGCCAGGTATACAGTATCAAGCATTTCCTCTTATTGAATAGCGCTAAGTCCAATTAGACAGCTGTGGGTTATTACCAAGATCCAGGTGCCTCTATTGCACTATTGGAACATTTGTTAGACCAGCCATTGTTGTGGTGCATAGGTTTAACATCTGGGTAGAACTGTTGATTTTTTTTTCTTCCTCGGCAACTTGTGTAGCTCCTTCTGATAATATGAGAACCAGTCCTCAGGAGGGAGGATTCCAGGTCAGATCCAGCTCTGTTCCTCCAAGTCCAGTGTCTGAAGTATGTGAGATCTTCATCTATAGGGACTTACCTTTAAGTTCTGAGAGGCAGCCAAAGGCAATGGCAGGCACCCTCTATTGTTTGGAGAGGGTCTCTCGGACCCCTAACCGACAACATGAAGTGAGGTTTCCCTTGTCTGGCTCTGGGGTATTTGTTAGGTGCCCTATGGCTCCTAGGGGAGCATTATCACCTTGTGTGGCATAATTCTGTTAAAATGTGTATGTGTGTGTATGTTAAGTGAGCTTATAAAAAACTATGTTCCCAGGTATACTTTTTAAGACTGTATTTTTTTTAAATTATTATACAAACTGTTTTCTAATACCTCTCAGGTTGCAGAGGATGTTCTCAGAGTTTCATAGAGAATGCCTCATTTAGTTCTAAACCTCCAGAGGAAGGCGTTGTTCTTTTGCCTTAAGAGAAGATTGATGACCTTGATGATAGCCCTGACTGGCCTGGAGCTTGATATGTAGACAAGGCTGCCCTTGAACTCCAAGAGATCTGCCTGCCTCAGCCTCTGTAGTGCTGGAATAAAAGGAATATGCCACCACTCCCAGCTTGAAAAAGATTGATTCACAGCCTGACTGGTTCTTGTGTCTGTTTTGCCAGGTGTTCTAACCCCAAACAATGAGCAAATGCCAACGGTTGTCATTTTTAAATACCATACAACATCTCTTCGTAGGTGTGGGTGTTAGGATCATTTCAAAATAGTCTATTTATTTATTTATTTGTTTGTTTGTTTGTTTATAATTTGTTTTTTTGAGACAGGGTTCGTCTGTGTAGTTTTGGAGCCTGTCCTAGAACTCAACTCTGTAGCCCTGGCTAACCTCCAACTCACAGAGATCCGCCTGGCTCTGCCTCCCAAGTGCTGGGATTAAAGGTGTGAGCCACCACCGCCTGGCTTTCAAAACAGTCTTCAACATGCAATTTTATCACTAGTCTTTTCATGCCATTATTGACTTAAGTAAATGCCTCATCACATAATTTTGGGTAGAGAGGGAATATTTTACATTTCAGCACATTCAGGTATGGTCAGACTGAGCTGTGAGTGCAGGTCCCAGCTCCTCTCCAGCTCAGGCTGCAGTCTCCTTTGCCCTCTTTGTCCTCCATTGTGTAAATTGTTATCCCTTTGATCTCTCATGCAAAGCATGCTCTAACACCTTTAATTTGCAGCTCTTTCATCACTAATGGTTCTTTCTGTGTATGGTTAGGTAACTGGCTATTTGTGTTTGTATATGGTTGGGGTAGTCATCATTCAGATCGTTAACTCACTGTGCCTCTGGAC